GGAAAAATAAAAAGAGATGGGCATTTCTGGAGAAGCATTTGCTTTACAGAAAATGAACAGTGCAAGGGTTTGGTCTCTGGAGGAAACTCAACAATTAATGGCAGACCAGTTGACCACCTTACAAGTATAAGAAATCAAGTCCTGGTGAAGACTACCCTTCCTGCCACTGCCAATGACATATTGCCCAAAGCACAGATAGGAGGAGACATGGCAAGGACACATCATGCTTAGGACTGGAGGTGGCAGATGGGTGGACCAGTGGATGTGTGTAGCTGTACGCTTCCCACCACAAGGACTCTCAGGGCAGCAGCCATTCTCACTCATCTAAGTGAGCTCATGCTAGTGGATTCAGGATGGGTGAATGCCCCTGAAAGGACCAGCTCATGACAACACAACTCCAGTGTCTGAGTGCAGTGGAAGATATTGGTGTCCTAGCAATGAGAACTGGTTGTTCAATTACAAATATACATGAGAGGTCACTGTGTAGATATTGCAGCCTGTTCTCCACTCTGCATGATTGGGTCCTGTCACTAAATCCTGCAGGATGTCATTCCAAGAACAGAACAGCCTCAGCCTACAGATGATTACTAAGCCCTGGGTGTGAGTTAACACCTGGGAGAATTTGTGGAGAGGCCTGAGGCAGACATATAAGTCAAACCCATGAAGAAGGTATCTTGAGTCAGGGAGTCCCTTCAAGTGACCTGTGGCTCCCTGTCTTCCCAGAAGGACAGCCCTTTGTTTTTAACATTCTGTTCCTTCGATACAGTTAGCATATTGGTAGGGAGCACAGCACACTCATTTAGCAGCCTGTCCCTTCCTGACAGTCTGTTTATGGCCTCTTGCTCTAAGAGTGGCCCTCAGACCAGCAGCACCCGCAGCTCATAGGGATGCAGGGCTTATCAGATCATTTTCACATGACCCCTGGGACATTCGTGTATACACTGAAGTTTGAGGGACTGAGTTGGGGTCCTGGCATCAATGTTTTATTTTTAAATCTTCCTAGGTGATTCCAATGTGCAGCCAGAGTAGAGAAGTGTTCCTGACCCACACTGGTTGGAGGGGAAGGGCACAGAGGTCTCTGAAAGGCAAGCTGCCCTTTTGAAGGGGCCATAATAAGAGATGTTTGGACAGCCTAGACCCTCAGTTCTTTTTCTAAACCTGTATAGTAAGTTCCAAACCACATTTCTAACAATATTTAATTGGGTAGAGACAAATCTTTTGATGACAATAATGTCACAGCTCTTAAAAAACAATTAAGTGCTTAGCCTCTTCCCCACAAAAGATCTGAGGAGGATGCAGGGACAGGATGCTTTGAATAGTTGCAAAAGAGATCCCCTCTCTCCACTGTTCTTTTAGTGTTTGTTTATTTCATTAGCCTAATGTCTGAAGAAGGAGGAAAGAGTGGGCTAGGGCCAGAAAGAATTAAGCAGAGGCAGTAGGGTGTTGTGGCAATGGAGGAAGACAGAAGGGCCGAGAAGGGGTTCTTGAGGTCGGGTAGTAAGGAATCAGTGGGGGTTGGAAAAAGCCTGGCAGATCCCTTACCCAGAAGAATCAGTTTTGTTCGGGTTGCCCTAGCAGCTGCTGCTGCTTCCTGTCATAATCTCCCTCAGCCTCCACCATCAGCTGCAAGAGCACCATGCCGATTTCCAAGGGAAGACAAAAGAAGCCACCACACAGATGCAGGGGAGGGGTGGCTCACCCATACAGAATGTGGAATCCAAGGTAGTACCATTCTTGATGCCATTTTGAGCAAGTTCTTCGGATAATCCTGTGGAAGTGTGGAGAGAGCCTTGGATCCAGCTTAGGTGGGGGGTGACCCTGAACGGTTCCCGCTTTGAGGTGAGAACCCTCACCATCATCATGACCCCAATAGGCTAAATCAGGCTTTTGCAACCACAGAGCTCTCAGTGAGGGGCCCCAGGTCTTGTCACCTGAGGATAATTTGGGGGCCGAGATCCACTACAAATGGACAGACAGTCACTGGACCCCAGCCCCAGAAAAGGGAGGAAATGAAGTGGAGGAATCAGACTCGGAGATTGGGAGCCAGGAAAATTTGCATCAGACCTCCGGTTCTGCATCCCCCAGAAAGTCTATGATCCTATGTTTCTTCATTTCTAAAATGGGGATAATAAAACTAATCTCAAAGTGTTGCTGGGATGGATGCCTGAGACTTGATTCCCACAGAGCTCATCCCTAACTTCTCTGGCTTCTGGTACTAGTTCAAGAAATACACGTTGGTTGACTGAAGGAATGGGCACATGCCGACGTTATTCAGAGTGGAGACTTGAGGAAAAGAGTGTGGCCTGTAGCTTTGCAACAAATGTCACAGCTAAAACCCCAAATTATTTCACTCATGATAGAGGATAACTCCCCAGAAACAAAGTCTACCTGCTGATGAGCAAGAGACTAGAATGTGTCCTGTGTCCTTGACATGTCCTTGTGGCATTCTTGGATTAACTGCAGGGCCATCACTTTAAACACTAGCAACTTGCACATATGCTTGTATTGACACGAAAAGTTTTAATGCCACCTTCCCACCCCCCGCCCCCAAGATCATTTGAAAGCTTCTGCCAGTGAAAGACTTGACATGAGGGAGGTAATCACAATCGCTGTCTTCTAAAGTGGCTCCAGCAGGTTGACCTGTGCAGAAGGAGGCTAGAACTCCACGCCTGCTGTGGGAGTGGCCCAGACTGTCTTGGGAGGGAAACTGCACCTTCAGGCAGACAAAGAATAGAGAGCATTGTATGCTCTTTTTGGTAAACCCCTGGGGAGGACTGGGGGACACTTGCTGGCCTTTGAGGTTCCCCAAAGATGTGTTGGAGAGATGAGTTATTCCTCAAGTCTTAAGTATCTAGAGGTCCAAATCCCCAGCTATTAGAGGGCAGGGCCTGCAGGACAGAGGTAACAATGCCCCACAGTGCATCACTGCTGCCAAACTCATGACCACGGCTAAGTCCCGGACTCCAGGGTCTATTTGTACCTGAAATTTGAAAGAGGGCAATCCCCCACGGCCCCGCCAGTTTCCTCTCCACCTCTCCTCCCCGCCCCCCCAGTGCTCCAAGGGCCTTCTGGATTCTGGTGACTAAAAACAGATGAGTGACATTCAGATGGGAAGTGGGTTAAAGTCAAAGGAGCCTGATCTGGGCAGGTTTTGGGGTGAAAGAGAGCATCCTGCCACACCCGCCAGCCAAGGTGGTGACCAAGTTGACCTTGAGCGAGACAAATGGCCTCATTTCCTTGTCTGTAAATAGGAACTAATTTTCCTTCCTTACAGGATGGTGATGGAGAGGAAGTCACCCAAGGAGTGATAGGCTCATAGCAGCCACTCACTTATCCCTACTTGGCCAGGTGCCCTGGTTGGCTGACAGTGGAAGCATCTGGAAGCACTGGGCTGGCTCCTGCATCTGAACCATGATCCCAGGGGACAACCTCCAGGCAACAGGCAGAGAAGGTCTTAGACGACTAGCCTCCCAGCAGACTGAGCCCTATCCTGACCCCAGGCTCCACTTAGGGGAATTGCAGTCCTGGCCCTGGGGGTCCCAGAGAAAGGAGGGGCTCTACAGCCTCAGCACATTCCTGGGTGTCCTCCTGGGACAGGTCAGGTGAAGGAGACCCCAGTCTACCTCAGAATTTGACACTCCTCTGCAGCCAAGGGTTTCCTCTCTGTCCCTGGTATTACTCCAGCCCTGCTCTCCCCAGGGCATAATCCCCATGAAATGACCTCGTAAACAGCTGAGACCTGGTCTGTTGCACTAGATTTTTGTTTCTACATTTTTTCCTGCTGTCTTTCCCTTGTGCAACCACATTCTTAGCACAGTGTTTGGAGGCCAGAAGCCTCTGTCCTTGTCTCTCTTCCAGGCTAAATGTACCCCCAGCTTACTGAAAACGGAGCTGCGTGCAGGATTGGGGGTGGGGGGGGTCCGGAGTTCTCACATTTCAGGGTAGGGGATGTGGACAAAAAAAGAGGTTCTCTGGAAAGTAACCTCACAGTGTGATCTGATCATAACTTCCTAACTGGGCAGGTCATGGTGGGTGGTCATGCCCAGGCAAATAACTTCTTTACTAAAAGGCTTGTCTTTGCCTTAAGCAAGCCCTGTCCATTGTTTTTGTGTATCTAAGTTAACATACCTTTGAAATGCCCCCTTTCAGGCCCCTCCCTCCTAAGCCAAAACAACCAAGAGAGCAAATAATCTTAGCTATCCTGTAATCGGGTTCCCTCCTTGCTTTCTCCCACCTCCAGGTAATCTTTCTTACCCTCCTCAATTTCAAATGCATAAAAGGAACTGCAAAAATATTATTATCTGGAGCATTTGAGTTCTTGCTCCCTGGCATATGTCATCAGTTTGGCTCAAATAAAATCATAAAAATTCTCTACAGGTTTTGATGTTTCTTACATCGACAGGGGTCTGTCACCTTCCATGTGCCCCTCTATACTGAAAAGCTTGGGATCTCATGCTTTAAGGATTTCAGGAATCTATAGCAGGAACTCCTGGCCATGAAACAAATCTTTGAAAAGTCCTGAGCTGAGTTCTGGGTGAGAAGTCTTAAGGCAAGGAGGAGTCATGAGGCTTTGCATTCTGTGGCTCCCTGACAGTGAGACTGACCCAGGGAAGGGTCCCTCCTGTGCCTCAGTTTTCTCAGCAAGAGATGGTCTATAGGAATCTGTCCATCTTTGGGGTCCATAGAGCAAATCACTGCAAATAAATGACCTGAAGTTCAGTCATTAGGTGGGGCCTCACCTAATCAGAGCCCATCCCACAGCAGGATCTCACCTAACTCAGAGCCATCTGACAGCAAGACCACACCTAATCCAGAGCCAATATTACAGCAGGGCCTCACCTAAACAAGAGCCCATCCCACAGCAGGCCCCTTGTTAGTCTGATGGGGAGGAGTGCTAAGAGGGACTGCTCTGCAAATCGGCCAAATTCAACGCAAACTCACAAAAACAAATCCGCCAATCAAGAGAACAAAAATATGAAACAAAAAGTGCAGAAGCATGTTCCATTTGTGTAAAGCGTAAGAGCAGATGGAGCTTGTGTGTGCTTCCACAGAAGATATGTCCACTCCCTCTGCAATTCTGGCTGCCCACCTTCAACTGGGGTGGGAGGGGGCTTCTCTTGCATAAATGTATTATTTTAAAATTTTTAAATTAATTTTTAAACAAAGATTCACTGAGACTCTTTCTGGAAGGTTGTCAGACAAGACTAGATGTGTGGAGGGTGATCAAGACATCTGGGGTTGGTAGACAGATAAATCATAGACTCCATCAGTCAAAACTGCCCGAGAGCCAGGGGCAGCAACAGAATCCATGGTGGGCAGGATGTTTCCTCAAGTCCGAGGGCAATGGGAAATCTATTTGTCTTGGTTAATAAGGAGAGACCTGCATCCACACCCCTCCCCACTTCCCCAAGCAGAGCTGGCCCCTGATTTGAGAAGGTGATCTATTAGCACAGGGCTCTAAAAGGTCACATTGGTGTTGTCTTGCCCAGTTCTGCCTCCACCAGCGTCTCTTGCAGGTTCCACATCTGGGCTCAGTTGCCATGACCTCCCTTGTACACTTTATCTGAAAAACCCCATAGTCCCTGGCTTTTCTCTAAGGGAAAACGTTCAGTGCAGAAACCATCCATTTTCTTCTATGGGAAAACACCCTAAAGGGGTAGTGGACAGCCCCGGATTCAAAGCCATCACACAAGTTGTATGACCCTGGCAAGTCACTCATCTGTCTAAACGTCAGTGTTCCTTCCATAAAATGCAGGTCGTGACCTCTCTCTAGGTTGATGATGGGAGTTAAGTGAGATAATGCACATGAAAGCACAATACATGTCTGGCACTCACTGAGCTGAGTAAATCTTTATGACTCAAAGCACATGATGGCAGAAGGAACTCCCCTCCCCCCTGTGACTCTAGCCTTGCTTATTCTACTTGGACAAGAATGCTTGACTGATTTGGCTCACATTATACAATCACAGTCATGATGGGAGCTCCTCCAGCAGGTCATGCTCCCCACTTGCATATCGAAATGGCCAAGAATTAGCCATTCATGCATTACATATGGTTCTATGGATGACCTTGTTTCTTTCCATGGCAGACTCATGGTGGCTCCTGCCTCCACTGCTGTCCCACATGACACTGAAATTTACTAATGATAATCAATTTCAATATGGCAGTGGTGATTTCCTCAAAACGGAGTAAAATTCAAAGGAGCTAGCCATCTCTCTTCTTCCTCAGAAAAAGTAAACTGTTTTCTGGTTAAACCATCAGGTAGTTTCAGGTTTCTCTTTTGCTCAGCCTATCCTCATTTTAAATTTGTGAAATTTTCTGTATGTAACTGGAAGCCCATATGCAGGACCTGCCAGGCCATCTCTAGGGCCAAGATTAAGTGTGTGGCTGTGGGCTGTAGAAAACATTTGAGGCCATTTGATAAGGTTTCATTCCCTGACTTGTGTTCCCCTGTTGGGGTCCTCAGGGGAATACTGGTGGCATCAGAGCTAAGGCAATGATTTAAATGATCCCGTTGTCATTTGATGATGAGGCCAGGGAAAGTAGTGTAAGCCCGTAAACCGGGCTAATGGCTACCCAGCTACCCATGGCCCTGTGACCTACCACCTCACCCTTCGTGCTCCTTTGAGAGTTCCCAGAACTGGCTCAGGAGGCAGCAGCCCTGCTCAGCATTGAGGTGAGATGGAGTATTTTTGGGGGATACACAGGATGGGGGTTCTCTACTCTCATTCAGTTATTGTCTCTTTCAAACCTCATGCCTCTCAAAGAAAGGTCCATCACATGTCAACAACCCACATTCACAATGAAGCAGCCCTGCTAAGTTTCCTCTCCTTTTTCAGGGAGAGAAGGGACCTGTTCTGCTTCTGGTAATATTGTTGTCTTATATGCCTTGTTAAAGTAGCTCAAAGCACCAGAACCAAGAGATGTACACATATACCATTGTGTATCATTATAACCAGAGAAACAAAATCATGGCTCAGTTAGAATCAGAGGGGAAAGTGCTCTGGGGTGGAGGAGAGCTACAGTGAACATGACTCTATGTTGTAATTATAAATAGCCTGCAATTCCACTTACTGTGCACTTTTGGCTAAAGTTGGCAGATATTCAATGAAAATCAGCTTGACTTGCATGTGACTTGTTAACAAAGGCTACTTTGCTGGATTCCTAACACGTGTAAACTTTTCTTCTTTTAACCGTTCACCAATAAAACATGCGCAAACAGGAAGTCATTTTTCCTTTGTCTGAGAAAAAATGCATCTGACTTTAGAAATTATAAAATCCCGGTTGCAACAATGTTTGATATTTGTCCAAACCTTAACACAATAGTGCATGAAGTTCAAGAATGGACTTTGGCCCTTTTACCCAGACTCTAGCTATAAATAGATGCTCTGGGGCCTGGGAAGCTGCAGGAGTTTCACAGAGCCGGAAGTCTGTTTACCTTGAAAGTTGTTGCGGACTCAGGATTGGCCAGAACCAAAGGTGAAATGAGAACCATGCCGGAAAAGTGGCCTGGCTTCTCTGCGGCTGTGAGGATGGCGATGGCACCTCCCTGCAATGCAAAATGGGCAGAGTTGCTATGTGCTGGCTTCCACCAGTGCGTGGCTTTCTAATGAGCTCCATGGATGAGGTCCTTCTAAGCTGTAGACCTGGCCAAGAGCTCTATGGAGGTCCACCTTGGAATAGATACCATCAAATGTTGGGTAAACTGGGTCTGCAATTATTTTATTATACATGTTTCTTTTTTTCTAAGAGCAAACATTTTAGGGAGATATAAATAAGGTTTCTGCTTGTGGGCTGCAAGTTAGACAATAACACATTCCTACTTCATTTCAAGCCAAAAGCTGGCAGATGTCCAATTCATCAAGCTTAATATGAGAATTTTCTT